ATAACCGCTTTGCTGTCGTATGCAGGAGACTCGAGCTCATTTCTCAAGAGGGGAGAAAATTTTTATTGAGTATTTTGGTCTTTCTGCTGGGATTTTGTACCCCTTTCAGCCAGGGCTGGCACTGCAAGGCAGCGTTGGAAGCCCACCTCCAAAATGATCTAATTTGTGTCGGTGCAGTTCTAAAAACCCCCCACCTATATTCTTATTTTTTAATTAAAAGTTTGGGTATACATTCATCATGGAAAGCAAATGTGTCTGTCCTCCTACCTGTAGAATGAGCAATAAGTTAACCTTTGAAATAAATTTTTTCTCCATCTAGTGGGGTGTCAGATTTTAGCAAACGCACCCACCCACTATTCTTCCATCTATGTTCCAATAAATAACAATCAGAATTCCTAGAAATTAATAAAATGTTTCAGTAAAGTCTTTTTGTTGAAGAAAAGGCCATACAAGAATAAGAATTCTCAAGAAAGTATTTATTTATCTATTTATTTACTGAACAAGATCTTTTCATTCGTTTGTATATCTATGGCTGAGGTCTTCTTTTTTTTTTTTTTGGTTGCTTTGCTACTAACATTTTGATTAGTTTACAAAAACTCACTACCCAAGTCCTTACCTAAAGTGATGCATAATTTATTTACTATTCAGGAATTTCGTCTGTTGTTCATTCTCCTTGTCTTCAACCATGCACATTAGTTTGTGATGGAATAAATCTTCCATTTGAGAAAGCACATTGACTGGTTTATTGTGAAATTATTTTATGTATTAGTTTTAAAAAAAATATGGATTCTTGTATCGTGCTTGATTTTTCCTTTCAGATTTATGGAAAAGTGGTTGGTTGCCGGGGGCTCCGGTGTGATTTGCTCCTTCTTTCTTGTTAAATATCGATCACCCTCCTCCTTTTCTTTGTATGTTACTCTCTAGCGATGCCTCTTATCTTCGGCTCTTTTATGACCTATTTCTGTTGCAAGTGTTGCAAAACATTTACTAAAACTAAAAGGAGATGTATTGCTTTTTAGGTAGTCCTTCTTCCGTCAGGATATCGAGTATGGAGCTGGTGCAGTTTACATGCTTGAGATAATTATAGAAGAAAAAAATACATTAAATTGTCCAACTAACTATCAGTTTACCCCCCCCCCCACCCCCCCCCCCACAAAAAAGCAAAGTTATACAGATAAAACTGACAAACAAAATCAAACAAACTAGTGGAATGGTTAATCCGAAAACGGACTCCACTGACCTATCAGTCGCATTTATTGCGCTGTATAGTGGCTTATTGTTTCATGACACTTGTACAATACCGGTACACTTACTTGAAAAGTGGAATCTAAATTTGATTTCCGTAATATTGATGCTTTTTTTTTTCATAACATTGAAGATTTTGTCACACGTGTGCACGTATTCACACTCACCATTCATTATGCATGCACCGTAGAAACTTATTTAAATATATACAGCAGATACTCGTAACTGTGACGCAAATGCACAAACGCGTTTTGTTACACATAATATATTATGTTCATTTTGATATTATGCAGTCATGATTACACACACACACACACACACATACACTCACTCACCCACACACACATACGCACACACATACATTCACACACATACACATACACGCATACACACACACACACACACACGCACACGAACTCACACTCTCAAAGGTATTTACATACGCACACATTTTTATAAAAACATAGATATATATACTCATACTCACGCATAGTGTACAGGACATTTTTCTGCTCTATAAAAGTTGTCAGTATTCTGGGTACATGTATTCCTTAGTTTATGTTAAAATTCACAACAATAGCAACAAAAAATGTTATCACAATGACATAATATCCATGTATTTAGAATAGGCCTACAAATATAGAACAGAACATCCACTGCTGTCTTTCAGCCACATCCCTGGTCTTCTGGTAGGAAAGATCTACACCTAGCTTTCTCGGACAAGGGCGAAAAATCTCGGAGGTCCTGTGTGCGAGTTGCGCACGTTAAAGTTCCCTTGGTGGTCTAAAATCGATAAGAGTACGCTTCGACCGCAACCCGGACAAAATTCAATATTTCCTAACAACTGAAAATGTTTGGTGTGTCCCGTGCGCTCAAATGACCTTATGCAGCTGCGAGCGCCGTAAAACACTTACCAAAAA